ATGAGGAAGATGTGTGTCCGAGTTGGATGTGGCCATCTGAACCCATGGATGTCAATCCAACTACTATGGCTCCTGAGCAGGACTTGAGCAATTTGAGACCGGATGCCCCTGAATTTGTGCCTCAAGCAAACGAGGATATGCCCATGGAAGATAATTCTGTACCTTCTCAAGTGGAAAGTCTCTTGCCAGAAACCTCAGTGCTAGAGGATGCTCCTGTTCAGCCAGTCGAAGAGGAAACTGAATCCTCTCAGCCAACGCTTCAAGTAGAAGAGGACTCCGCAGATGAGGGTCCATCAGGGCTTCTAGAATCAAGGTCCAAACGACCGGTGCGACCCCCTCAGAGACTCACTTATGACTCACCAGGGAATAGCACAGAGGAAGCTGTAACTACTGTGCGAAGATCACCCGAGGTGTCCACCTTGAACACAGAAGTATCAAAGGACTTGTGTCCAACTCAGGCCATCAGCACACCTTGGTGGAGTGTCCCTCTACCCACCCCACTTGCTAGACGCTGTCATAAACTGCATCTATCTGCACGCAGTAAAGGTATTCAAGTTGTTTAGTATAAACTTTATATGTGCCTTTTATATTGTATATGCTGTCTGTAGAACCTACAAACGCAGTTTACCCTTTGGAGGGACCCAAAGACTTTAAGTAGGGGGAGAATGTAGCCTGTTGTGATTTCAGCTCCTTTAAGAGAAAAGATATTGCAGCTGCAGGTGGAGCCAGAGAGCACAGGCTGTGGAGACTGTATACAGAGCTGATTTGGATACGTTTGCTGAAAGGATTTTTGAGAACTGCATTACCCAGGAGGCTGTGGGGAAGGAAACAGGAGGCTTATGGGTTGCAACTGCAGAGCAGCCTCAGTCTGGGACAGCCATCTGAAGAGGACAGACCTGTGTAACCCTGTGTGGGTTAAGACTGTGTGAAACAAAGCTGTGTTGTCACCGCTGACATATAGGGACACACAGGCTCTGTGCAGCCGTCTTTAGAGAGACTGATCTGAGTTGCTGAATCGGAGAGGACCCGATCGAGTGCCTGAAGTGAGGTCCGGTGACTTGGTTAACGCAAAGGACATCGAGGCCTAGTCGCACTGCCGAACCAGCCACTGGGGTGATCCAGCCATCCAGAGGGAGACGACTGCCAGTATCCTGAGTGAGTGAAAACTTCTTACAAGGGACCCAGATGACTTCACCTTCCTCCCAGAGTCGACTAGAGAGAGAGAGGACACCCAGCTTCCACCAGCAGACTTCATCTCTTCCCATTTGATCTGAGGAGTGGTGAGAGGCCTTTGGCCGCAGTGACACCCTGTTTATTGTTCACATCTGCTATACAGCAAGGGCCCCAACGTTGGCTAGCCTAGGACAATACTACTGGCCAGTAGTTTAGCGGGGGATAGATACTTTTAAGTAGAGATATCAATGTTGATTGCATTCAATCTAAGTATATTATCTGAGACATTCTGACATTGCAGGCTTTCCTGCATGCAATAGATTGCTGCTGCGTGTCAGATTGCCTTATCCTGTTATTGGTTGTATTACATGTGATTGGGGGAGCTGTTAAGTGTTTGTTCTATTCCATAGTCATTAAATCTGTTATAAAACTTCACAAGGTGTGCTGGTGTGCTGTGGGTTCATTGCTTGTGGTGTGTCACAGAGGTGAAACAGAAGACCCGATCATCCAGCGGCTCCTTCGGGGGTGAGCGCTACACCGGCAAAATAAAAAAATTGGGTGGAAAACTTGGCAGAAGTCTTCTAGCAGGTCCCAGGCCAATAAATAACAAATGGGCGGAGCCGGCCATGACATCACGACCGGTTCCGCCCAGTTTTTATTGTTTAATGACAGATCTGCATCCCCAGGTCATTTGGGGACGCTGATCTGTCATTACAGCTGTCATTTGCATGGAAATCGGTCGGCTTTGGCCGATCTTTCTCCCCGCTTCGCCTGTCACTATGGCTCAGCCGAGCCGAAGCATATGCGTTCGGCTCGGCTGCTGTACGGGCTATAGTGAATAGGCCGTACAGAAGCCCTTTGGTTTGACTGAACCGAAGTGCTCCGGTAGCCGAAGTGATCCGTAGGATCAGCCGAAACTATAGCTGGATCCTTCGGATCATTAGTGAATAACCCCTTAATTGACAGCAGGCTCCTGCTGAAGTTGTGATCAGTTAGCTTGAGCTCACTAGACAGGCAGCCAATCAGAAGCAAGTGATGAGATTACACTGTCTGTTGAAGCTGCTAATTGAGGTCAGGTACTGATTTTGGATGAGGACACCTGGCTCACTAAGTGACATTTCAAATCATCCCAAAGGTGTTCAGTAGGGTTGAGGTCAGGGCTCTGTGCAGAACACTCAAGTTCTTCCAAACCAAACTCATCAGACCATGTCTTTATGGAGCTGGCTTTGTACACAGGGACACAGTCATGCTGGAACAGAAAAGGGTCTTCACCAAACATTCCCACAAGGTTAGGCAGGTACAGTTGTTTAGAATGTCTTTCTACATACCCTGCACTGGAAACATCTAAACTCAACCATTTGGAGGGGTATCCACATTTTTATGGTCAGATGTCCCAAACCTTTTCGCCATATAGTGTATAGTGTTGCATTGTCACAGAAGAATGGAGTTGGTGGGGTTTGCCTCTTTACGATGAGAGATAATCAAGTAATGTTTTTACACATTTCTGTTTTCAGAGCTGAAGGGGACATATAGCTAATACTCTCAGAATGTTATTTTTTTCATGTGAAGCACCCAATCACTCCACTGGAGGTTACGGACCTCCAGGTAGCTTGGTAAGCTAACATCTCAAACCTCAGGGTGGAATACTTGACACTTTGTGGGGTGAAAACATTTGGTGCCAATCACTTTAGGAAGTTTGCAGAGTTTATTAGGCATGATAAACACATGGAGAGAGGGGTTAGTGCACAAGATACCCCAAAACAACCAAATATGCAGACTCTATGCCTCTACTCACAGTCAATATAGAAGAAAGGGCATTTAGGCCTGAAACCGCCACTCTGCACTGTTTATACCGTAGACCAGCATTATACAGCATCTGTACCTCTGGAGTAATTTAGACAGGAACCCTCCTGCAATGTCTACTGACAGTGCCTATAGGTGGCAGCCAGGTGCAAACAACTTTTCAGAGACGCTTGCAGTGCACCTGGTTGCCACCTACAGGCGCTGTCAGTGTCAATAAAATAGTGCGTGCACCTGACGCCCACCTACTCACCATTCCATTGACACTGACAATGCACCTGGTTCACACCAGGGGCACTCTTCCTGTCATTGGAATGGTGGATAGACAGGAGCCAGGGACACTGTCATTGTTACTGGAATGGTGTGCACACAGTGCATCTGGATCCCTCCTGGTACACCTGCATGCAATTTATCAACTGCATTAATATGCTCACACTTGGAGACTCCTATACATAGAGTTAGGACCACACCTTGCAGAGGTGCCTTGGCACGGCGGTGTAGCTTCTACATATTTTTGGCCAAAAGTTTGTGCAACTAAAACCTCTGATTTTAACGCATACTGTTGACAGGGCAATTTGTTTGGTTGCAGGCTGGCTGGCAGGTGAGGGGGTGAGGTGGCTGGGGATTTTCTGTGTTTTGTATTGTTGTAAGCCTTCCCAATGTGCACCCTGCCGTAAAGGCTAGTTATAGATTCATGCAGGTACCATGTTTTTTTCTAGTGCATCTGGATCCCACCTATCAAACATTGTAAAGACTCCGGATCTATTATTTAGCCCCTCCCACTTTAAATGCACCATTTGGACATACCTACCATAGCCCCATCCACTGCCCTGCCCACAGTCTCAGGAATTACAATTTCTAAAAGTTCCCAGGTATGACTGTTACCAGGGACACTAAGCTGAGCTTGGGGGAAACCTAATGAACGCAGAACTATAACAATCCATGCTCAGGCTGACTACAGCCTGGCAGCACTGAGTTTAGGCCAGGTACACTACTGCTTAGGGAAGAGTCCCTACACATGCTAGATTCAGTTTAAGCCCAATAGACAGCATTTTCTAGAGACATTTTTTAATACAAATAAAATAAACCTGTACAGCAGGGCTCAAAATTTCAAGTCCTGAGCTACTAGCCAGGCCTTAAAAGTTACTCGCCACCAGTTGCCCCACCTAACCCCTCCCCTGCCCCGGACTTAACTCCGCCAGGTCAGTAATGTAACGCACAGCGCAGAGGTCAGTAATGTAACGCACAGCGCAAAGGTCAGTAATGTAACACACAGCGCAGAGGTCAGAGTGACGCACAGCGCAGAGGTCAGAGTGACGCACAGCGCAGAGGTCAGAGTGACGCACAGCGCAGAGGTCAGTGTGACGCACAGTGTCCACAAACCTTTGGACATATGGTGTAAATCTATCTATCTATCTATCTATCTATCTATCTATCTATCTATCTATCTATCTATCCATCTATCTATCCATCTATTATCTATCTATCTATCCATCTATCTATCCATCTATCTATCTACCATTATAATGGCAGCTTAATACAGCACAGTAGATTAATTATGATCCCTGTGTAAGTTCAGATCATAAGACTCAACGCTTTCATACATCTTCCTCTTCCGACCTGACTCTATAACATTGTGAGTGTTCTATGACACCCGTCTCACTATCACGGCTGATCATCTGATAATTTCCATACTCAAAAACATCTGTTATTTGATCCAGACAAGCGCAGAGGTCAGTGTGACGCACAGTGTCCACAAACCTTTGGACATATGGTGTAAATCTATCTATCTATCTATCTATCTATCTATCTATCTATCTATCTATCTATCTATCTATCTATCCATCTATCTATCCATCTATCTATCTACCATTATAATGGCAGCTTAATACAGCACAGTAGATTAATTATGATCCCTGTGTAAGTTCAGATCATAAGACTCAACGCTTTCATACATCTTCCTCTTCCGACCTGACTCTATAACATTGTGAGTGTTCTATGACCCCCGTCTCACTATCACGGCTGATCATCTGATAATTTCCATACTCAAAAACATCTGTTATTTGATCCAGACAGGTTGTTGATTTTGGGAAGCAGGCTTGAAAGAAACATTTGAGATATAGCTGAGTGACTTTGTGGACCAGTCTACCCATGAAAATGCAATCTTCCACTGTACAGTATTAAAGAGCATCACAAATTGTTTGAGCTGACAAGGCTGAAGTTCCTGCCAAATGCAAATATACCTTGTGATAATCATTGGCTTCAGGAGAGGGCTGTAACTGCTCCTCCCCTGTAAGTTAGAAAGGAACCAAAACTTGACAAGTTCACTTTTTAATACTGTCAGATACAGCCAAGATACTGCTGAGCAGTTGGCCTAGCAGAGATTCAACATTTGCATTTGCTTTGCTGGTCGGAAAAAGGGGGTTCCACGTCGGCAGCAATGATTCTCTGCCCGCAGGGTACGGCGAATTTGGAGGAGGCTGCAGACGAACTTATATTTTTTGTAAATGGGAAAAAGGTAAAAAAATGAAAATACTTTTTATCCATTATGTTTTTAGCAGTTACCCAAATTCAAAAATATTTATTTACTGTCTGCTAGGTTTTCTGACATCCATTCTCATTGACAATGGGTGTCAGATATTTACCCAAAAATCAGTTGGCTTGCTTTTCTTCTTTTCTTACGTCATTCTGCGAGATTCTAATGTTTAAGTGAATGGCAGCTGATGTCAAGTGATCTTTAATGGGCCGTCGTTGGGGACATGGTCTTTGGAAAATGCTGGTGGCTAGGCTGTTGATCCCAAGGCTTTGTTTCTTACTGAGTAACTGACCTGGAACAAGTATGCAAACCACGCACAATGGCCACTAACTGCATGCTTGTTGAAGGTCAGGCCAGGCAACTCATATTTTCAGAAAAGGTAGCAGTTTTAGTGGTAGCACCAGAAACCAGACCAGACAACATATATTTATAAGCATCATAATTGTCTTCTGTAGACACATAGGTCCATTTCCCAGCAAACATTGTCAGGCATGCGGTGCCTTTGGCTAGACAAGAGATCCTATGAATGAACAGGCATTGTGCAATTCACCAATCTTGACACAAGTCTATGGCCAGCCGCACAGGAAAGTGACCCCAGAAATGTTTGTGATAACTCAGCAATTTTAGAGGCTAAGATGTACTTGTTCATATTCATATTATAGGCATTTTCCAGCATGCTGATTACTCTCTACATCTGCTAAGAGAATTGCTTCTTTCTTTGCTAAAGCGTGCTAAAAAAGTGTTAAAGGTCAGTACTGTGTTACCAGTGGGATGCCATAAGACTAATGTGATGCCATGTTACCAGTGGGATACCATATAACCAGTTTGATACCATGTTTTTCGGCTGAAATTGTTCCTGAAATTTTTCTTTGCCCCACTTAGTGGCTATTGACTTTTTAATGAGATTGAAACTCTAGTATTGGGGCATCACACATATTAATAATATGGTATCAAACTGGTCATATGATATCCCACCGGTAACATGGCATCACACTAGTCATATGGCCTCCCACTGGTAACATGGTATCAAACTGGTCATACGGTATCACACTGGTAACATGGTATCAAACTGGACATATGGTATCCCACCGGCAACATGGCATCACACTAGTCACATGGCATCCCACTGATAACATGGTATCAAACTGGTCATATGGTATCCCACTGGTAAAATGGCATCACACTAGTCATATGGCATCCCACTGATAACATGGTATCAAACTGGTCATATGGTATCCCACTGGTAAAATGGCATCACACTAGTCATATGGCATCCCACTGATAACATGGTATCAAACTGGTCATATGGTATCCCACTGGTAACATGGCATCACACTAGTCATATGGCATCCCACTGAAAACATGGTATCAAACTGGTTATATGGTATCCCACTGGTAACATGGCATCACATTAGTCTTATGGCATCCCACTGGTAACACAGTATCAAACTGGTCATATGGTATCCCACTGGTAACATGGTATCAAACTGGTCATATGGCATCCCACTGGTAACATGGTATAAAACTGGTCATATGGCATCCCATTGGTAACATGGTATAAAACTAGTCATATGGTATCCCATTGGTAACATGGTATAAAACTAGTCATATGGTATCCCACTGGTAAAACATGGCATCACACTAGTCATATGGCATCCCACTGGTAACATGGTATCAAACTGGCCATATGGTATCCCACTGGTAACATGGCATCACACTAGTCATATGGCATCCCACTGGTAACATGGCATCAAACTGGTCATATGGCATCCTACTGGTAACATGGTATAAAACTGGTCATATGGCATCCCACTGGTAACATGGTATAAAACTAGTCATATGGTATCCCACTGGTAACATGGTATCACATTAGTCATATGGCATCCCACTGGTAACATGGTATAAAACTAGTCATATGGTATCCCACTGGTAACATGGCATCACATTAGTCATATGGCATCCCACTGTTAACATGGTATCAAACTGGCCATATGGTATCCCACTGGTAACATGGCATCACACTAGTCATATGGCATCCCACTGGTAACATGGTATCAAACTGGTCATATGGTATCCCACCGGTAACATGGCATCACACTAGTCATATGGCATCCCACTGGCAACATGGTTGTCATCCTAGGACAGAAAGTGTGTTATTGGCAGGATCACCAGGGAAATAAAAATGTGAAAAAAAGCCTGGAAAGTAAACAAATGCAGCTACCTCATCCAAGGAATGGTAAGCTGCAATATTTATATTCTGTTCTTGGGTTTGGATACACTTTAATTATGTGGCCTCTGTAGTGACCATATTCAGTATATAAATTCCTTTTTTTTTTTTTAATAGGCCTTTATTTATATTTGTCTCCACATCTATGTGCAGGCCAAGCTGTTCAGCTATGACAGTAACATGAGGTTGGGGTAAACCACATAACACTTCTGGGGCCGCTTACAACTTAATAGTTTAAACCTTTTCCTAAAGAAAAAATAACCTGTTGTAATCGCTTAAAGAATATCTAAACCTAAGAACAAAAATGTAATATATTGCAGCTTACAGGTCCTTAGATGTGGTCACTGCATTTGTTTTCTTTTTTTTTGTGTGCAGAACAATACTATAAAGCTGCCTGACCACCTGTACAAAGGGGTTAGAAATACAGTATGTAGAGTTTTCAAATAGAATACTTTTCAACTATACGGTACCGTGTTTAAACTAGCAAACCCGATCTATTGAATGGTGTGACAGTCCAGTAAGCACATAGGTCACATCTGATGTTGGTCTGTTCAGGGGATCATGGGACTTGTGTGTACATTGTTTGGTCAGTGGGCAAACTCCAGATCCTTTGATGCATTAGGTGGAAAGATCAGCTTGTGTTTGCATGCTGTAACTGTATATGACAGTATATGACTTGGTGATAAAGTAAAGAAAGTTGGTAAAGAAAATAATATTTTCAGGTATAGTATTATGTTACATAGTTACATAGTATTTGAGGTTGAATAAAGACACAGGTCCACAGGTATGTGTGGAATTCTGCATGTGTATGCGTGTGCATGAGTCCCTGTGATCTTTTTTTTAAGAGTACCTGTATCCCTGCATGTTACGGTCTCTGAGGAAATTGCCCAAATGCTTTTTGAATGATTCAACACTATCAGCTGATACCACTGCTTGTGGCAGCGAGTTCCACAACCTAACCGCTCTAACTGAGAAGAAGCCCCTATGCCCAGTGGCGTAACAATCGCCATAGCGACCCAGGCAACCGCTATGGGGCATGGGAACAGGGGGGCCAGGGCACCACTCTGATGCCCTGTGGGTCGCTATGGCACGTAAGGGTGCTGACTGTCACTGACACAGCTCAGCAGCGGCTGTGAAGATCACTGACAACCTGTCGGTGATGTGTGCAGCGGCCGCTGCGGAGCTGTGTCAGTGAAAGCCAGCAGCTGCGGCAGAAGAGGCCGGTGTTCTCAGTGAAGGAGGAGGCGGGGCCCGCCTAAGAGCAACGCCGCCCCCTCTTACATCACTGGCCAGCGTTATTAGAGCAGGCGAGGCCCGTCGATAGAAGAGGAGGCGGGGCCCGGGGACAGAAGAGGAGGCGGGGCCTCGTCGACCACGGAGGCGGACATCGCTGACAGGTAAGAGGTGTGCAGCCCATCTGAGACCCTGCAGAGCCCACTATAGAGAGTCTATGGTGGGCTCTGCAGGGTCACTCTCAGGTGGGCTGTTTGATATATCAGGTGGGCTCTGCAAGTGGCATAACTAGCAATACGGGGCCCCATAGAAAATTTTGCTATGGGGCCCTGTGATTTCTAGTTACGCCCCTGCCTACGCCCCTTGTGGTTAAATCTTTTCTCCAATTTTAGGTGGTGACCTCTAGCCCTTGTTATGGAGTTTAACAGTAAAAAGTGTATTGCTGATGTTGCTATCACCATTGAACATCTTGTACATCAAAATCATGTCCCCTCTTAATCTCCTCACTTCCAGCGTGAACATGTTTAAATTTAGTAACCTTGTCTCATAGCTTTGATCCTCCAGCCCCTTAATTAGTTTAGTTGCCCTTCTCTGGACCCTTTCCAGCTCAAGGATATCCTTTCTGTGAATCGGCGACCAAAACTGGACCGCATACTCCAGATGAGGCTGAACCAGTGATCTATAAAGTGGCAAAATTATAGATTTGTCTCTACAGTACATTCCCTTTTTAATACAAGACAGAACTCTGCTCGCTTTGTTTGCTTTGGGAGTGTAGGTGAGCCTCCTCCTCTTCCCCTATAATCATGTTTATAACACACACCCACAATTAGTTGATGACTAGCATTAGTCTTTTCTAGTTCTAGCCACAAGGACTCTATACCATCGCGACTCTCTGCCGTGATGTCATCCCGTATGTGCACAGTTAGATTATTTTTAACATACATGCATACCCCCCCTTCCCCCTTCTCCCAACCCTGTCCCTCCTGAACAGGTTGTACCTTTCTGTATTGGTAGCCCAGTCATGTGTGCTGTCTAGCCAGTTTCAGCTATTCCCACTATATCGAAGTCCTCTTCAAGTAGCAAAACTTCGAGCTCCACTAATTTGTTTGCTAGACTTCTAGCATTGGTGTACATACATTTGAGTTTGGTGCTAGTATGGGTTACATTTTTACTCTTTTTTGGCGCCCCACTAATTTTTTTATTGGACATTGGTATGGGTGATACCTTACTAATTTGATTAACTGGAGCGATTCCATTAACTATATTGACTATATTGACTTTAGTGAGCCCTCTGTTCCCCCTTTTATTACTGCCCTCTGTATTCATTGCCCCTGTAGTTTCTTGTTCTATAATAATTTTAATTTGATCAATTTGTATTCCCTCCCCACCATTATCTAGTTTAAGATCTCCTCCAGTCTTTTTACCAAAAGTGCTGCACCTACCCCATAAAGATGCAGCCCGTCTCGGCTGAAGAGCCGGTAACAGACTGAGAAGTCAGCCCAGTTCTCCAGGAAACCAAAGCCCTCTTTCCGACACCAGCTCAGGAGCCACATGTTAAGTTCCCTCAACTTTTGTTAATGCCCAGGAGGTATCACACTAATGCATGTGGTACTGATGTACAATTAATGCCCCGCAGGTAATACACTTAATGCCCAGACTATAATAATTAATAATTAATTATCCCGCAAACAATACACTTAATGCCCAGCCGATAAAAAAATATATTAATATTAATGCCCCGCAGATGATTCACTTAATGCCCAGCCGATAATACAATTAGTGCCCTGCAGATAATACTCTTGATGCCCAGCTGATAATAATAATTAATAATTAATGCCCCGCAGATACACACTTAGTGCCCAGCTGATAATAATAAATGCCCCTCAGATAATACACTTAAAGCCCAGCCGATGTTACAAATTAATGCCTCGCTGATAATACTCTTAATGCCCCATTCAAAAGCAGTTAGTAATTAATGTCCCTTAGATACACACTTAGTGCCCAGCTGATAATAATTAATGCCCCGCAGATAATACTTTATGCCCAGTAAACAATATGATTAATTCCCAGCAAATAATACACGTTATTCCCAGCAAATAATACACGTAATTCCCAGCAAATAATACACTTTAATCCCAGCAAATAATACACTTTATTCCCAGCAAATAATACACGTAATTCCCAGCAAATAATACACGTAATTCCCAGCAAATAATACACGTAATTCCCAGCAAATACTACACTTTATTCCCAGCAAATAATACACGTAATTCCCAGCAAATAATACACATAATTCCCAGCAAATAATAAACGTAATTCCCAGCAAATAATACACTTTAATCTCAGCAAATAATACACTTGAATCCCAGCAAATAATACACTTTAATCCCTGCAGTATGTATGTATATATACATAAAAAATGTTTTAACCACTTAACGCCCAGCAATTACTAACCCTCAGTTTACCCCTCTCTCCACTCGCAGTTTCACGCCACAGCTTACAGCAACCATCACCCCACTTACCCCGTTCAATTGTTTCCTCTGTTCTTGCGGCACCAATCACACCACACACTCAGACCGCCCTCAACACAGCTTTCCCCCTTTCTCTCGCTCCCCTCTCGCAGCACTGTTCACCCCCACACGCTCCTGCATCCCTGGTCACCAATCAGCCGTCCTGCAATAATGTTATTATTATTTTTTTCTTTTGCAGGTTATTGAGAAAAATGCTGATCCGAAAATGACCTTACTGACCTATCTGCGAAGGAAGTGTATCCTCCCTGTGGTTTTAAAATTCATATTTACAGACTGTGCCTAAGGATACGCACAGTGATTTTGGTGAAATTGGTTGTGCAAACGAAATGACCAATTTTGCAAATATAGAAATGGTTAATTTCGTTAATGGAGCTGCTTTGGCTAAATCCGATCATTTTGTTTATTGAT